AAATAAAAAATCTAAAAATGTAGTTGTTATTTAAATATTGAAAATGAGTAATACACTAACTGAAGAACAACCACATTTAATATCCTGACGGTTCAAAAAAAGCGACGAGGTAAAGAACCGTAAAGAAACCCTCGAAGGAGCTTATATATCGCTCACCTAAAAAAATTAATTACATATTTACATTAACATAAAAAAAAATTATAACTTATTCTTCAGAACTCGGACTTCCATCTGTGGTTGCATTCATGTAATGCTCCGATTCGAGTTGGTACGATGACTCTTGAGCCCGACGTCTTGCCAAGAGCCAATCTTGGTTGCAAACCAGTGTTTCAAGAGATTCAGCGTTAAGACAACTTCGGTAGTCGGTTAGAATGTTGCCGCCAGCACTGAATTCTCGTTCAACTGCTACGGTTGATACTGGGATGGACAACACTTGTCTTGCTAGCATGCCGAGACATGGGAACATGTGTTCGTTCCGCTTCCACCATCCGAGCACGTCAAAATCGACATCGTCGTCATCGTAATACAATGATAGAAGAGCACCTTCACCTATGGAAGAAGAGAATGCAAATGAGCAATTAATGTTACAATAATGTTGAAAGATGATGAAGAATACCCAGAAGTAGAGGGATATCTTCATTTTGGTTTTTCTTTTTAAATCTTATGCAAATACCATATGGCTGCAGGAGCAGGCTCATTATATCATTCCAACTATCCTTGATGCTTTGAATGGTTCTGAATCAATCCTAGATCCTATTACAAAAGTTTGTACTCAAGGTATTCAACAAAATCCCTAAAAGAGAATTTATAATTTCTAATTCTAGAGCATGAACAAGTATTTAATTTCTAATTCTGGCAGGTGATTCATCAAATACGAGGCCCCTTCCCAGCACCATGACTATGATTCTAACATCTTTTGATCACGAGGGACAATATTAAGAAGTAAGGTCTTATGTATAACATCTTTTAGTATGTACATTTCGTTCTATTTTTTATCCTTTGACACCTCAGTTTCTAATTTCTTTCAAGAAACATATTTAGTGAAAGAAGTAAGTCAATGATATGGAAATTTGAAGACGGTGTTTTATTTGTAAATTATTCTTAGCAGATATTCAGGACAGTGCGTGTGGATATAAAGTGAATAGACGTGGAGGGACAGTGTTTGCAAGTGAAGACTAAATTTGTTGTTCTGTCCTGCATATGTTGAAATAAGATGAAACCTCAACCACGAAGGTTCTTTCAACACTTTAAAGATATGGGTAATATTTTTCTCTTTCTCAGTTTTTTTTCACTGCTTTCTTGAACCTATTGGTCTTTTTAGAAGCTTTTAATACATTATTTAAATGCTTTATTTAAAGTTCAAATGAACTTATTAAGACATTAATAGTTCTATAATATACTTGGATGTCAATTGAGAGTTTTCAGTTGCTATATGTGTTTTGATTATCCGAGTATAACAATAACATAATCTATTTAAATGTTTTTTGGGCAAATCCATCCAATGAGAATCTGTTGCGGTTGTGATTTGAATTGGGATATAAAATAGAAGACCAACTGGAGAAACCTGATTCAGAAACCGGTTTAGGGTTTGAGAAGGCTGGATTGAAAGTGTAATCGATGAAATTGATCATAATACTGAAGAAATAGAAAAAAGGAAATTCATTAAATGGGAAGTCATCAATTGGTATTTTCTCAACGTTCTAGAGGTTTCATGTTCAGTGAGAATGACACCAATATTTGTTTGAATGTTATGGAAGTTTCATGTTCACTGAGAATGACACCAATATTTGTTCTTCTTTACATGAGTATGTGCTGGATAGACTGTCTAGAGAGGGGGGCCAGAGCCGAAAGCCTTATATATATAAAGTAGAGCGGTTTAATTGTTGTTACGCCATGTGGCATGCCACCTAAGATTATTCTGCTGACTCATCATAAAAATGCCATGCCATGTAGGATTAAAAAACTGACAATTAAAGAAGAAGAGGAATACCAAGCACATTTTTCATTTCCGATTAACTGGTACGGAGCACAAAACCTTTTTAAATAATTTTTAGGGTTTTTGTCTTCCTTCTCCTCCCTGAAGAACGATGATTTGCTCTGATGAAGACCAAAGACCGGAGACCTATTCATCAAATATTTGACGTGATGGCCTCTTGGGAGGAACGAATATTATAACCAACGTCTTCAAGAAGGCTGCGAAAGGTCTTTATTACTGATAAAGTCGTTTTATACGTAATTTTACTCTCGCATTTAACATATTTTTATAATTTCTTAAGGAACAATTTTTTAGTAAAAGTCATATTTCTATATTTTTGAGTAGTAAAATTGAATGGGTCAAGAAAAATAAAAATATGTTTGATTTCAACAAGAAATTAGTAATATTTTCCTTCTGGAATGGAATTGGAAGTTGGAGCAAGAGAGAAAGGTGTTTAGAATCAATTCTGAAGCAAAATATGAGTTTAGGAGCCGAATGCACGACAGGCAACCAGGCAGGCGGCCGCCTACCAGGCCGCCTGCCAAGCATCAGCAAACGGCGAGAGTTGGCTCCGGCGGCGAACACACGCGCAGGCGGGGAAAATGGGCTCCGGCGGCGAACACACGCGCAGGCGAGGAAAATGGGCTCCGGCGGGCTAGTAGGCGCCCGCCTGCGTGCCCGCCTGACGTAGTTCTCGTAGTATCGGCGATCCAGAAGCTTCCCTTGTTGGCGGTGGCGGGCTGACAGGCGGCCGCTTGTCTGCCCGCCTGTGATGACTGCTCGGGTATAAATACCCTACTCGGCCATTCCCTTCCCCATCACTCCAAAAATTCCACTTTTCACCTTATTTGAGTTTGAGAGTCCTTCTAGAAAAGCTTACAATGTTGATTTGAAGATTTGTGAGCTTTGTATTCAGTTCTTCAAGATCTGTAAGCTTTCTTGTAAACTTTTCTTTTATTAAAATTATCTTTTATACTTAGTTTGAATTGTGAACTAATGGCTTTTAGTGGCTAAATTTATACTTAGGTATGAATTGAATTAAGGGTATGGGCTAATGATTAATAGTTAAAATTAAGTTAGTAACGTGATTAATTTGATTCAATTGTCTAAAACGAGATTCACTAATTAATAGATCTGGCCAATTTATTAATTAATCTTTGGAGATTATTTATCTAGCTTGTCTATGAGTTAAGAAAAATAATCTAGCCAACCATATTTAGACACATTAATGAGGCCTGAAAAATGGATAAGTTAATGATATAAAATCAAATTAATTAAGAAGTTAATTTAATCTAAAATTATTATCTTAGCCCATATACTTGTTCGATTCATACCTGTTTCTAAATTGTTGTTTGGATTAATCATATTGCTGCTATTGCTTTGAACTTGATTGCTCTAAATTAATTGTTTGAAGTAAAATATTAAGATATTTAACAAATACTTCCTTTTTCCAATCCTTGTGAAACGACCCGAGTTAGTCTCGGTTAATTTTATTGAATTACCGCTATACCAAGCTTCGTCAATTACCGCCACGAGAGGAATTCTGCACGTCACTCCATGCCACCAATTTGGACAGGTTTTTTCAATTCAAATCTTACTATATACAATGGTAGGATGCATTTTTCTACAGTGTTCCTGCCCATTTTTATGCTACAGTGACATTTGGACGGCACATTCTGATAAAATATCTTCCTGCATACTCACTCGCTATAGATGACCTAGAGTACTGGAGAAGCATTGCTTATTGCATACTCACCCGTCTTCCGGGTTTCTAGGGTTTCTTTTGAAAGCTTCCCGAAATTTTGGTCTGGGATTTCACACGAGAGAAGCTTTGGAGTACTGGTGATTCTGGTCTGGGATTTCGCATGTCATTTTGGAGTACACGGAGATAAACCTAAGGCACATCCCAAGCAACAAGACATAGAGAGAGAACTACGGGAGATTGACTTTTCAATCAGATGGGTTGCAGTGACGACACAGCGGCGGTCGAGCATCGGCGACAGAGGAGGAACTGTGATGGATTCTAGGAGGGGTATTGTCGAAGGCTTCTTCTAGCAGCCGCGCTTCACACAGCGCAGATCGGAGAGGGAAAAGAGAGGGAGTACTCTATCGACCAGAATGAAAACAGAGATGACGGACAGACCATTAGGAACAACGCATCTTGAGGGAGAGGTAAAGGTGAAGGTCGTTGTTGCAGGAGTACAATCAACAATTCTTCATCTTTCTCAACATTGGCCCAGCGGCTATGGTACATTTCTATTTTTTTCATCAAATTCATATAGAAACTCTCAAATTAAGAATAGCTAAGGGCACAACTCGGTGGTGATTGACATGCTAAATAAGAGGTGCATTTATTTGTTTCAATCTCTTTAATCCCTTTGATGCACTTCCTACGGGTGGCAGAGCTGGGCTAGGCCAGCAACACCACCTGGCTTGCTGGATTTGGGATTGGCTTTGGTCTCTGGTATCACATATTTCATTTCTAGAATTTTACATCCGAGCATATCTAAAATTGCTTCTAAGTGTCTATTATCTAACGTGGCATGAATGGCTAACGGTGCAGGTTAAATGATTTGGGTGTAATTGGCTACCACTCACTGTATCTCCCCTTATATATGCCGTGTTTTTAGCCGACTTCTTTCAGGTAGGTACAATGATCAATTTTTTTTCTTCCCAATGAAGAATGACATTCTTATATGCACTTTGAGCTTCATTTGTCACTTGAATCACCTCTATACTAATCGTTGTTCTATTTGGGGGCAACAAACAATTCAGGAAGAAGATTGGCTTCTGGAGGAGGCATACTATTCGTAGATGAAAGACGCGGGGTTCTTTGATGCAGATTGGGAATAGCATTTTATGCGTTGTGATCGCCTCATTGTCTATGTACTTTGTGAATATTTCCACTCATGTGAACTGTCCACAACCCCGTCCTGGAAACGCAGTGGGGGCAAAGATCTTCCTCTTCGGTGATTGTGTGTAAACGGACCGTTCTTCTTTTGGAGATGCTAAGAATGTAGAAACTGTAAGGTTAATTCTTGGGGAGCAACATCACCCGCGTCAGCAAGTAGATCTACTGGTCTTCTTGTTCTTTCAAGGTGTTAGGAAGGTAATGCTTTCTATTCGGGTTTTATTCAATTTTAAAAAAATTCTTTCATACTTTGTGGTATATATGTAATTTGATATATTTTTGCACTTGATATTTCAATTATTCTCTAATAATTATCCCTATTTGAGTGCATCAATCTACAGTTCTTCCTCTCCAATTTTTTTTTTGAATAAATTTTCTTAACAACTAGGCTTCTCAAATAACAAATGGTTTGAATTCTTTTTTATAGATAACAAGTCTGAGCAACTGTAAACTTATCTTAGTAAGGGGTTGTTTTTGAGACGACATTGCTTTGGCATAGTTTAATGGTTTTGTCATTTACAAAAAAGGACTCATTAATGACCAAGCAGTAATTTATGGGCAATACTGACAGTTAGGTTTGGCACAGAAATGGAAATAGCTTCTCTTGGATCCGACCAGTCCATCAATTGGCAATCACTTTAGTCCAAAATGCACACTAACGAAGTTCACAGTGAAGCATTAGCTGAATCTTATCCACCAAGGTTCTATACTAATTGCTCAAGAGAGAAGCAATCGATCAATTTCTCCACCAAGGTTCTCCAACTTCATACCGTAAACAATTTACCATATCCGTCCAATTCAAATTTGTATTTTGTTTGCGATGGATGTCTTTGGTAAATCCATAAATCTTACTTCTACTTATACTAATGTGTTCCCAGTAAAGAAGGGACATAGATCATATGAGCATACAATGATATAAGAGCAGCTTCACCTATGGAAGAAGAGAATGCAAATGAGCAATTAATGTTACAATAATGTTGAAGGATGATGAAGAATACCCAGAAGTAGAGGGATATCTTCATTTTGGTTTTTCTTTTTAAATCTTATGCAAATACCATATGTCTGCAGGAGCAGGCTCATTATATCATTCCAACTATCCTTGATGCTTTGAATGGTTCTGAATCAATCCAAGATCCTATCACAAAAGTTTGCACTCAAGGTGTTCAACAAAATCCCTAAAAGAGAATTTATAATTTCTAATTCTAGAGCATGAACAAGTATTTAATTTCTAAATCTGGCAGGTGATTCATCAAATACCAGTCCCCTTCCCAGCACCATGACTCTTATTCTAACATCTTTTGATCACGAGGGACAATATTAAGAAGTAAGGTCTTATGTATAACATCTTTTAGTTTGTACAATTTTTTCTATTTTTTATCCTTTGACACCTCAGTTTCTAATTTCTTTCAAGGAACATATTTAGTGAAAGAAGTGAGTAAGTCAATGATATGGAAATTTGAAGACGGTGTTTTATTTGTAAATTATTCTTAGCAGATATTCAGGACAGTGCGTGTGGATATAAAGGGAAAAGATGTGGAGGGACAGTGTTTGTAAGTGAAGACTAAATTTGTTGTTCTGTCCTGTATATGTTGAAATAAGATGAAACCTCAACCATGAAGGTTCTTTCAATACTTTCAAGATATGGGTAATATTTTTCTCTTTCTCAGTTTTTCTCACTGCTTTCTTGATTCTATTGGACTTTTTAGAAGCTCTTAATACATTATTTTACGCGTTGTGATCGCCTCAATGTCTATGTACTTTGTGAATATTTGCACTCATGTGAACTGTCCACAACCCCTTTCTGGAAACGCAGTGGGGGCAGATATCTTCCTCTTTGGTGATTGTGTGTAAACGGACCGTTCTTCTTTTAGAGATGCTAAGAATGTAGAAACTGTAAGGTTAATTCTTGGGGAGCAACATCACCCACGTCAGCGAGTAGATCTACTGGTCATCTTCTTCTTTCAACGTGGTAGCAAGGTAATGCTTTCTATTCGAGTTTTATTCAATTTTAAAAAATTCTGTCATACATTGTGGTATATATGTAATTTGATATATTTTTGCACGTGATATTTCAATTATTCTCTAATAATTATCTTTATTTGAGTGCATCAATCTACAGTTTTGAGTAGGGGTGGACACGGTACGGTTCCGGTTCCGGAACCGCCGGTTCCGGTACCGCCACCCCGAGTAACCGGAAAGTATACCGTGCCGGCCGGTACCGGTTCCGGTTCCCGGACCGGCGGTTCCGGTACCGGACCGGCCGGTTTCGCCCCCCCCCCCTATTTTTTTTTAATTTTTAAATTATAAAAATATAAAATTGTAAATTTGCAAATTGCAATTGTTTAAGGAAAGAATGAAATAAAAAATCTAAAAATGTAGTTGTTATTTAAATATTGAAAATGAGTAATACACTAACTGAAGAACAACCACATTGAATATCCTGACGGTTCAAAAAAAGCGACGAGGTAAAGAACCGTAAAGAAACCCTCGAAGGAGCTTATATATCGCTCACCTAAAAAAATTAATTACATATTTACATTAACATAAAAAAAAATTATAACTTATTCTTCAGAACTCGGACTTCCATCTGTGGTTGCATTCATGTAATGCTCCGATTCGAGTTGGTACGATGACTCTTGAGCCCGACGTCTTGCCAAGAGCCAATCTTGGTTGCAAACCAGTGTTTCAAGAGATTCAGCGTTAAGACAACTTCGGTAGTCGGTTAGAATGTTGCCGCCAGCACTGAATTCTCGTTCAACTGCTACGGTTGATACTGGGA